ATCTCACTTCTAATCTTGGGGTTAAAGAAGACAAACTTCATCTTGGATCAATAAATGGAAACCATATGATTGCAACATTGGTTCAACACCATAATCACTGGTTCGTAAAACATTTAACAATACAATCATCTTTTCCTGTGGTTTCTTCTCGGATTATTGGTCAAGGAAGCATTTGACAACACATTCATCCTTTTCTGTGGCTTCTGCCAAGATTTCTTAATCATTGAAGCTCTTTGCCTAGTGTTCAAAGCTTTTGTATGATGTCACAAGACCATTTGAGAACAAAACTCAATGAGGATACAAGTGATATGTTGGTATGACCAAAAAGTTGGTCAAATTCACAAAATGTGCTGGTGTTGAATTGAATAGGAAATACTAACTGATCTTGATATTGTCTCAGGCAAGGGTAAGTGTGATATTGATCACATTTTCTTCTTTAATGAGCGTTGTAGGAATTAGAAACAGACTCACTATAAGAGCCATGTATGGAAAGATATCCGTAGAATTCTTGATGCTGGGGATGAAACGCACATGATAAAACCCCAAAATAGATAAAAATTCAGTTCAGCCTAGCTTGAAAATGATAACCCTAGTAACAGTGGGAATGGGTAATATGTGTAAGTCGAGCTTCTCTCTTCAATGTCATCAAGTAAACAAAAACTGATATGAAAAACAGCTTCATAACCTCAATAGTATGGTTGAAACTAACTGCCAGGAACCTCAAAGAAATATTTTTAATTATCACCTACACATAAAAGGCCAAATTCAGAGTTTGAGGTCTCGATGAACTGATCCTTGGATCGAATGGTCTACAAAGGGACCATCTTTGTAGTTTATCAAAGAACACATTGTCATGTGACACATGGTTTAATAAGATTGGGTATTTGAAACCATACTTGCTGAATAGATATTTGTTCAACAACAAGATTCTAATGCAACTGCCTGATGAACGAAGCAATTATGTATAGTCTGATCTACTGTCACTGTTTTTATTTTCAATCTTCATATCTTTCTGTCTCATTAGAAATATTTGTTTAAGTCAATGATCTTGACACAGGATATTGTGGGCCTTCAGCATGCCCCAACATTGGCTAATACAAGTGTTCAAAATGCATCAACAGTTCTGATTCTGATTGAAATGGGTTTTCAGCATGCCCCAGCATTTTGCTGATAAATATTCAGAATATTTCAACATTTCTGATTCTGATTGAAAAGGGTTTTCAGCATGCCCCAACATTTGCTTCTTGTTAATCTGAGCCTTCAAAATGCCCCACATGGATCTGTCTGAAGGAACCTTTAAAATGCCCCAACAATTGCTGATACAGATGTTAAAAGTGTGCTCAACATTATTTCTTGTTGAGATGAGCCTCCAAGAATGCCCAAATATTCATATTGTTGTGAGCCTTCAAAATGCCCCAATATTCTATTTCTGGTTGAAATGGGTCCTCAAGATGTCCCACATGAAACATTTCTGTCTGAAATGGGCTTTCGAGATGCCCCAATATTCTGCTTCTGGTTGACTCTCAATGTCTGTTTGACTTGAATATCATGATCCCCACGAGGTCTAATTTTGACAATACACTATTGTACTTGTGGCTTTATTCATGCCCCAAATCTGTTTATCTTGAATACTCTCATTCTGATGTTACTGAACAGCAATGTTGTCAAGTAACTGGAGAAATTCTCTTTATGTTGTCATAAACTTAAGAAGTACTCAATCATTCTAACAGAAACGTCTGAGATATGTGTCTTCTGAATGAGGTGACCATTTTCTGTATCTGGAGGGATTTAGTCGGACAGAGCAGTAAAAATAGCTTGGTAATCCGTTCCAGGCTGACACAGTGGCTTATCATCTTTCAGTGAAGGTCATCTCTGAAATATACTTTTATGTGGGAGAGAAACCAATTTATGCAAACAGTAATCTGATGCAATGGCAAGACTACATATACAATGGTACAAGCTCATCAAAAATCCGCACCCATGCAACATGTTGATTCTGATAACAACTCATCTTATTATGAAGCGATCTTTCAGGATGATTTCACAGATATTGATAGTTTTTCTGATATCGAGGAAATCATGAATTCTGATTCTGATGAGGAGAGTAACTGTTATACTTGACAAAAATGGGATTCTCAGAGGCTGAGTTTTCAATAACCATGGAGAGATGTGGTTCAGATTCATCAATTACAGAATTGACAGATTTTATATGTGCTGATCAAATGGCTAAGGTTACTGATGCACTTCTTATGGTAGAAGATAGGAAGCCATTATGCAATGATCCAATTATAAGCAAATGCGAAACTTGGGCCATGATTTGTGGAAAAGGAAGAAGCAGAAGAAGCTTGAAAAGAAGCTTCTTAATGAAGATGATCATGCAATTCACCTTTCAATTCCAATGATTGGTTCTGGGGTTCATACCAAACCAGATCAGATAACTCAAAGAACACTTCCAGAAGATGCTATTGGGTCTCCTTATTTCTACTATGAGCAAATTCATATTTTAAATCCAATGATTGGTTTTGGGGTTCATACCAAACCAGATCAGATAACTCAAAGAACACTTCCAGAAGATGCTATTGAGTCTTCTTATTTCTACTATGAGCACATGACACTTGCTCCAGTTAATGTTTGGACTGGAATATCACAATACTTATTCGATGTAGAGCCAGAATTTGTAGATTCGAAGCATTTTCATGCTGTTACACTAAAAAAGGCCTATATTCATAATTCTGCCAATTGAGAATAGATTTTCTCTTATTCTGCTTCCTCCATGTGCTGATGCTTTTCCATTGACAAAGAGATGATGGCCTTCCTTCGAGTGTCCAGAAGTATGTTCTTGATGAGTGCTGAAAATGGAATCTGGTATGGGTTGAAAAGAATAAAATTGTTCCACTTGAATCTGATGAGGTGGAAATGCTTATAGGTTTCCCTAAAAACCATACACAATGATCTGTATAGAGACATGTTCCATGGTGGTATCAATGTCCTATCTCTTTTCTCTGGGATCAATGATACAGAAGTTGCCTTTTATTGTCTTGGCATACTTTTGAAAATAGATGTGCAAGAACTGAATGATGATCGGTTGGAGCAATTGATGAGTAGATTTGTCGAATTCGACCTTGTTGTCAATTGCATCCAGTGTAACAACCTTACTGGAAGAAATAAACATCATCAGGATTAAATAGAAGATTTTTATTGGTGCATTTTCTTGCAATGACTGCTACGACAACTATCTCTTCTGCTGCTCCAAAATACACACTGCCATATCATACTCTTCCCTAACCATGGACAAGTTTAGTTGATGGTAAAACTGGTTATCTCAACTTTTGGAATCCTGTACGGCATACAAATGTAGGATTTGTTCCAATGTCTTATTCTGTGCCATAAGTCCTTAAATTCAAATTCAGCAATCTTCTGAAGGACATAATGGATATCATCTTGACAAAGAAAATGATCGGCATAGAAGAAGTAGCAATGATGTATCAAGACTTGAGCCAACATCACAGTATAACCAGAGTGCAGGTAGTGACTTGTTCATGGTTCTATGATGTAATCTTCTAGAGAACATGAATTGATGGTTGGGGAAAATAATCTGTCTGGTGATACTTATCGCCCTCAGCATGAGATAAACGATAATATTTCTTGATGAGCTACTAATAATGTCATAGGAGAGTGTCACAAGTTCAATTCTCCAGACTTTCTGGCTTCTTGGACCACTTTCCTTCAAAAATGTGAAGCGCTTCATTCTTCTGGCTTCGTTCATTCTTTTTCTACAACAGAGGTAGAATAAGCAACAATTGCTTTAAGGACCTTCCTCATTTGAGACTGTACTGTTTGAAAATGTTTTTTCTCTTTTCTTTCTGAAAGAATTTTGCAAAGTATTATCCCTTTCAGGTTCACAATATAATCAAATCATAAACAATAAGTTTAATGAATATCCAATAAATCAACTACACTTTTAAATCATTCAAAAATCATAGTCCTATGGAAAGTGTCAAAATTATTGATTGATTTAAGGTGTAGGTGGATTTTGGTAAAGTAAGGTTCTTTCAAGTTGGTTCAGTATGTCGCTTCGGGGTTCCACTAACTTGAAGAAATGGTTATTATGCTCATCTTGTAGAGATACTTCTTGATTCCAAAATCTCGGGAACGTCTTTTGGGATGTGCAGTGCTTCATTTAAGATCATCTCTTATGTCGTTTGTTGCACCATTCAATATTCGAGCCGCCTTTTTTAGGTTTTCAACTCGAATCCTCCTTTGGTTTCAAGATGTTATTTAAAAATTTACATCTTGAACCCCCTTTTATCATTTTTCATATCATGCATTAAAGATTTTAAAAACCAATTTTTGCAAATAAAAATCAATCTTGAGAGGCGGAATGAATTCTAAAGATATTCTCTTTAGATGCCTTCAATCTTGCTTTGCTTGACTTCGATCTGCCTTGTTGAGGATTTTTCCATCATCTGGATCCCTCTAGACTGCCAAATTTTGGATTCATTTCCATTTTCTCATATCTTCAACGTTTCTTGCTTTTCTTGTTTGTACTTGATCAACCTTGTAACTTGAGGCTCAATAATTCACCCATCTTGATTCAATTTTTTCTTTTTCTTTTTTTGTTTTGTTTTTTGTTTTTTTCTTCTTTCTTTGCTGGATGAGTATAATACTTCAATTGCTTTGATCACCTCCTTTTCCTTTTGCATTTTGGAGGTTTTCCATTATTCTTGATTGGATTGATCTTCAAGCACTCTGTATTTGACAGACTTTGTAGTTCAAAACTTTCATGACTTCATGGAAACTTGTCTTCGTAAAAAAATGTATTGACAATCTTTATTCTTGTGAGCCAATATCCTTTACCTTGCCCCCCAATGTAGAGGGTGATCCTTGGTTAGGGTTGAATCAGAAGAAAAATCATTCAGGCTCAAATGGGGACAACAAATGATATATATATATATATATATTAAAGGATAAATGAAACAATGCCGTTCATCATCTCATACACAGAAACCTTTGTAAAAAGAGGTATCCACAGAGGGATGAATATTCAAGATTAACTTTATTTACATGAAAAAATGTAATTAATGCATGATATATTTATTTCAATCAATCACTTTCCCTTTCTTCTTTGAGTATGCCCTAATCACTCGAAATTATCATCAATGAGTTGGTCCATGATGCCTCATCTCGTCTCTTCTTGCAGTAAAATTCACGAATAATTGAAAGTTTGGTTCTTTTGAGGTCTTTTGGTTTATGATGGTTTTGTGTTTGGAAGGACAAATGTGTGACTTTTAAAGTCATGTATATGGTGGAAGGGATAATATCATAAACTAACCAACTCTATCCGAGAAGGTAAACATCTAGAGTTGATGTCTCAAAAACAAGTAAACACATTTCTTCAGAATCTTAGATAAATGTACGGTCAAAATTTGGTATTAGTAAGGATCAAGTAATTGGCATTGGATGGAAGGTATAATTTTATCACTTGCCAATAGATCTATAACTCTTGATAAATTAAAATAATATTTAATCTACTTGATACTCAATAATCTCAAGATTAAAACTTGATTCCTTGCTCATAACCTTAATAAGCAACACACATTTATTTATTGCACAAAAAGCGGAGAAAGGAACAAAAAACAAGTTCAAACAAGATGCTGAAAATAGAAAGGTACTACAGTGGTAGATAACACTTCCACTTGTTCATGCATCATCACTCCTTTAATGTCGGTTGTGTAATAAGATCAGAGTCATTTTCTTTATTTGCCCCCCATTTCTTGATCATTTTTTGTGTCAAGACTCTTTTGTCAACAAGCATCTCTATTTCTTTTAACAGTTGCCTACAATTGCCCGTGGAATGCCCAAATACTCCCAAGTGAAAATCACAAACACTACTTTGATCATAGCTATGAGCAGAAGGGTTTGGTGACATTTTCATTGGTCTTGGTGTGATGTACTGACCTTTAACCAAATGAGGATACAAGTCTGAAATGGAAGTTTGGAATACTTCCAAAGTTTGTCTTGATCGCATGACTTTCTTTAGTCGATCCGAACAGTTACTTGCTCTTTTTCTTTTGCAATTGCGAGGACTCTGGATGCAACATTCATTCACATGATCAGCTTTTGCTTTTTGATCCGTCAGGCTCCTGGATGTGACTTTTGAATTTTCTTCACTGATTACATTCTCAATTAAATCTCCACTTGTCACAAGATTCTCGAATTCCTTTGTCGGATTTGCCTGCATCAATTCGAAGAAAGGCGATGGAAGGGAATCACGAAACATACGTGATATTTCTTCTTCTAACATGGGAGGTTGAACTTGTGCTGCCATTCCTCTCCATCTTAGGGCATATTCTTGAAATCTTTCATTGGCTTTCTTCTTTATTCTTCGAAGATCCATACGTGTTGGAGCTAAGCCTTTAACATACCGATATTGTCCCAAAAATGCATTAGCTAGATCTACCCATCTATTGATCTGTTCTTGGGTCAACTGATTGTACCAAACTACTACTGGGCCAATAAGACTATCATGGAAAAAATGAATTAACAGATCATCAGAACTCAAATATCCTTCCATTTTTCTGTAAAACATTCTCAAATGGATTAAGGGACAACTGGTGCCATCATATTTCTCAAAATCAGGCATTTTGAATTCATGAGGAATAATAAAATCTGGAACCAAGCTGAGCTTTCTTGCTTCTAATTCTTTGTGGGAAGTATCAACACATTTCATATTTTTAATTGCTTCATCCATCTTCTTGAATCTTTCCTCATATTGCGAATAATGAACAAGGCTATTCTTTGGGTTCAATTGGGATGCCCCAGAGGGTTTTACCATTTTCGACTCTTCAATCTGACAGCATGGTTGCTCTTTATCAATTATCTCTTCTTTATCAGATGTCACATACTGAATAATTTGATTTGATCCATCTGGTACTGAATCTGATGTTTCTTTCCTTATATCCGGAGGTAACCCTGTCAATTGTTCTGGCCACTGGTCTTGTAGTCCCTTATAAGATTGCTCCATTGTTTTCATGACGACAGTAAAGTAATATGAATGAATGACCTTGGTTTTACTATTACAAAACCTTTCATTAATTATTAACATGTTTTTATAATTAAAGTACATGACAATACTTAAATAAAAATGTGAAAAATGCATAAATGGAAAAATAAGAATGCAAAATGTGCAATTCAAAGATATAAAAAGTAAAAATAAAAAATGAAAATGCACAGATACAAAATGTAAATGCATGTATGAAAAAGGTGTTACTTAAGAGTGATCATCTTAGAACAGATTTCATTGAACACAAAAGCTTCAGTACATCAAACAAAACTTTTACATGTAGGGGACAACTTTCAGTCCTAACTTCAACAAAACTTTACATATAGGGAATAACTTTCCCATTTTCTTCCCTAAAACCAAGTTAGTTTATCAACTTATGGGCCATATTACTTGTCTAGACTGCAGCTTCTTCCATGACATTCTGGTGTTATTTCATCTCCTATGTCAATTCTCGGAGTTGCTCATTTTCCCTTGTGAGAGAACATTTGTGTTCAAAAAGTTTTTGGACAAGATCTTCATGTATGTTGCAACTCTTTTTCAGTTTGGTGACCCCTGCTATCCACTCTTCTGGGGTATTTCCTATACCAGCATTTTGAAAGGCTTGACTGACCTTCTGGAAGTCTTCATGTATGGTTTCCATTTTGGTGCTCAATTTATCGTTTTCAATCTTCAAATGACGTATTTGAGCTTCAAACCTCAGCAAATCTTCTTCTTTTTGGGCGCACCTACTGATATTCTTACCTTTGAAGAATTTTGGTATTAATCTATCAGGACCCTCGGTTACCAAACTAGGTCGATCATTTACCATAAATTGTAAGGATCCATGATCTAAAAGACTTTGGACTCGGCGTTTGAAGGCAAGACAATTCTCGATGGTATGTCCTTGAGCTCCGACATGATATTCACAATGAACGTTGATGTCATACCAATTTGGATACGGAGGTTGGAACGGTTTTATATAATATGGATCCACTTCTCGTGCTTCAAGTAGCTTCTCATACAACTCTTTATATGATATAGGTATAGCATCAACATGAGAATCGCCTTTTGTCTTGAATTGAACCTGAGTTTTAGATATCGGGAGCATACTAAACTTTGATGATTTCAGGTTACATGATTTCTTCTCTTCTCTGGAAGCTTTTACAATTTTCATAATTTCTTTGGTATCTCCAGATGACTTGTGAATACGGATGATGATTGTCTGTAACTTCTCCAATTGATTAGGATCAGAAGTCCCTTGCATATTTGAGATTGCAGGATTATGTTCATTAAGCTTTCTCTCTTTCTGTGCAGGAATCTCTTCTCTTTTGGCCAAAACAGATATTCTATCCATCATCTTGGACATCTGCTCTCTTATTTCTCGTATCTCCTCTTGCTCCTTAATGGACACATGATCTCTAGGTGCATAGCTCTCTTCTATCCTCGGAGTTTCCTCAGGATGTCTTTTCTTGGCCGCATCATATTTTGTTTGATCATAAAACTTTTTGTCCATTTACAATTTCTTTCCAATACGATGAACAGTCTTTCAAGTAAACACCTTCTGGTTATGCTATAATCATGCAATGCAAACAAAAGAAATGAGAAAAAAATAAAATAGTTAGTACTAACTAATGAAAAAAAAATCTATCTATCAAGGTATAAATCTTAACCTCATGCTTTCTAGTTCCATGCTTTGTTTGGAAAATTTAACCTAACCGCATGATTTTTAGTTTGCAGGCATTTATTCAGAAAAAATAATAAATTAAAAAATTAAAAGCTAAAGCTTATTTCTCCTTTGTGTACACCTAAGGACAGAGGTTCAGTACTGTCTTAGATTAGGAGAAGTTCTAAGGTTTATTATATGCAGAGTTTCAATTCTAGGAGTAAAGGTACTCGAATTGTCCTTGTTAGTGCCCCCTTAGGCTGCCAACCCTCAATCCTAGTCCATTACAGATTTAAGTGGATCGAGTTCAATTCGAGGGGATACATTTCTCTATACCTGACACGGAGAATAAATTCTCACGAAGACATAGAGCATATGAACCCCGAAAGTTACTTGCTAGGTCTGACACGGAGAATAAATTCTCACGAAAACGTCGCTTTCACTCCCACTTAAAAGGGACAAACTCAATTATAGAGCTTTATGTTATGCAATGCAAGTGTGTTGTGTGTGAGGAGAAATGTTCAAACCTCTAACAGATAAATGAAATAATTAATACCTGAATAAAAAAACCAATATTAATATAAAAATAATAAAAATTTGAAAGAAAAGAATTAAAAATTAAATAAATGAATTTTTAATTTCTAATTAATAGAGACAATTTATAATTGATTTTAAAGTTTGACAAGGTCCCCAGCGGAGTCGCCAAGCTGTCGTAACCGGTTTTCGTCCGGGCACGAAATATTTACTTGATGGGAAAAGTGATGTGAATAAATGGTTTTGAAAATAATTTGGGAGTCGCCATCGGCCTTTTGGGTCAGGTAGGTCGAATACCTAAAAAATATCTTTTAAAAGAGTTTTTAAGAAAACATCAATTAAAAGATAAACTGATCTGCGTTTTAACCAAAAATTTGTTCTTTTTAATAATAAAAATGGATTCGTGGTCGGTTACGTTTAGGGAAGGATTAACACCCCTACAACGCCCAAAATTGGTACTTTTTAATTATAAATTGTCTCTATTATTAAAAATTAACAATTCAAAATATATTTAATTCATAATTATGTTATTTCAAATAATTTAAAGAAAATATATTAATATGTATAAAATATTTATTTATTTAGAAATATCAGAAAATGGCTTCTAGGTGCTTTAAGACAGCTCTTTTCTTCGATATTAATAAATAAATAACTAAAAAAAACATTTTTTTCTAAAAAATAATTAATATATAATTTATAAAAAAAACAAGATATTTATTTATTTAAGAATATCAGAAAAGAACTTCTAGGTGCTTTAAGACAATTCTTTTCTTCGATATTAATATAAATAAATATTAAAAATATAATAATTTTTCATAAAAATGATTTAAATAAATTATAATTTTTATAATATTTGATATAAATATATTTATAAGACTAAGATAATAATAAAATAATAATTAAAGCCATAATTAAAATATAAAAGTGATAACAAAATAATATTGTAATTAAATAATGATCAAATAAAGAAATTAAAATTATAAAACTAAATATAAAGTATCAAAATAAAGATAATAATTTGAAACATTATGAAAGATAATGGTTAATAGTGTAATTTAACCTAATTAATTAATACGGGATTAAATAAAAAAACTAAACTATAAGGGACTAAATTTGATATTTACCTAAATATTATTTAATACTGGTAAGGACTAAAACATAATAAAATAAAATTCAAAAACTGAATTAAAATGTTCAGAAATTAATTTCAGTGACTAAATCGTAAGGATTACAAACTATAGTGACTGCGGAAATGGTTTACCCATGATGGAAATTACACGCACACCCCTCCCCCCAAAACGACGTCGTTCGGGGGAGGGTTTATAAACCCTAAACGCCTGGCCCGAAGGGCCAAGCTTTCTCATTTCTTTCTTTCTCAATTTCTCTCTAAAACAGAGAGAAGAAATTCTCTCTCGTCTCTCTCTTGCTTCTCTCAACAGAGGGAACTCCGGCCGCTGCCGGCCACCATACCTTGGCGTCAGACGTCGCCGCCGGCCACCGTGAGCGGTGGCCGGAACTATACAATCTCATACCAAAAGGGAGCGCTAAACACCCCCAATACCGAATCCAACTTTTCTTTAAAAAGCTCCTAATCGGAGCAGATCTACAAGAATACCTTCGGGTTTTGGTGGTTTCAGGTG